CCCCTTTCCTTCCTCCCTCCCCTCTCTCCTCTCTCTCTTCTCTCTCTCTTCTCTCTCCTCTCCTCTCTTTCTTCTCTTTCCTCTCTCTCCTTCCCTCCCCTCTCCCCTCTCTCTTTCCTTCCTCTCTCTGTCTCCTCTCTCTTCTCTCCCCCCCCATGCGTGTATATATCCTGGGGCTTGAACTCAGGGCCTGGGTGCAAAGCTAGCATGCTAACACTTAGGGCATAGCTCCACTTCCAGGTTTTTTTTTTGGTGTTTTTTCTTTTAAAGATTTGATTGTTATTCTGAAGGTGATGTGCAGAGGGTTACGGTCACTTAGGTCAGGTATAGGGCACATTTCTGTTTGGACAGCGTTGTCCCTTCCCTGGCTCTCTCCCCACCCCCACCAGCTGTGGAGTTCATGTTCCTCCCCGTGCGCGGTGAGCATCACTGCTGCATTTGATCAGTTTGTTTATTTTTTTAAATCGGACATGGGGCTTGAACTCTGGGCCTGGGCACTGTCCCTCAGCTCTTCAGCTCAAGGCAAGCGCTCTACCACTTGAGCCACAGCGCCACTTCTGGTTTTCTACTGGTTTATTGGAGATAAGAGTCTCACGGACTTTTCCTGTCTGGGCTGGCTTTGAACCGCGATCCTCAGAGCTCAGCCTCCTGAGTAGCTAGGATGACAGGTGTGAGCCACTGCTGCATTTGTTCACCCTTTGTCCCTCCATTTCTGTGCCCGTCCCTTACCTTCCCGAAGACAGATAACAAAATGAAAAAGAAAAAAAAAAACAGCAGTGGGGCCAAAAATCCTGTTGCTTCCATTTCCTGGAGTTCATTTCGGTACATATTATTTTGTATGATGGAGGTGCGGAGGCCTGCGCCTTTGTGATGCTCTCACGAGTGTCCTGTCTCCCCGGGTGTGAAAGCCTGCAGCCCTGTGTCACTGATCACGTCCCTGTGTATTTTAGATCTAGTTTCCACCGAGGAGAGCCAACAGGCGCCATTTGTGTCTCTGAGACCAGCTTACCTCATGATTTCCTGCCTGGGCTGGTTTTGAACCCTGAACCTCAGATCTCAGCCTCTTGCCTGGCTGGGATGACAGGCATGAGCCACTGGTGCCCAGCCCACGTTGTTTATCCATTCAATTTGTCTATGGGCACCTTGTCTGATGGTGCATTTCAGTGTTGTAAATAGTGCCCCACTGAACGTGGGCTGGCTGGGTATCTCTTTGGCATGTTAATTTTATGTACTTTCTTTTGGATGCACGTCTAGAATTGGAAAAGCTGGCTCACAGGGTAGATCTATGAAGGAACTTTCCTACTGTGTGTGTGTGCACATGTGTGCGTGCCAGTAGCAAGTTTGAACTTGGGATCACTTTCTCTTGCTCAGCTTGCCTGGTGCTCTACCACCTGAGTCATGCCTCCAGCCTGGCTTTTTGCTGGCTTCTTTGGAGATGGAGTCTTGAGGACTTGTAGGTACCTGCTGGCAGAAGACGGGGTCCTTCGAGGTGTCTCCCCACGTCTAGTTAGACAAAGCTGCTCAGGACCCTTGTGGTGACTTTTGGAGGGTCTTGTGGCGACCCGGTCTAGGTCCTAGATCCTCAGTGTGGGAGTCATAAAGGCAGGTGCTGATAGGCTGGTTGTGGTCCGAGAGAGGGGGGCTCTGGGCTGCTGGTGTGTTTGCCCCATGGTGAGGGTGAGTTTTTGCAGGGCAGGGGACCGGCTCCCCCGAGGGCCACGTGAGGACCTCATGTCTCTGCCCAGTGTCCCACCCATAGTCCCTGGAGCAGCCCTGCGTGCCGTTCGCTGATTGGGTGAAGGAGAGGCGGGCCTTTGTGGATGTCAGCTGTGAGACCCTCTTCAGTGCTCATGGATAGTCACTCAGTATTGTCTTTCTGGAAATGGGGGTGGGCCCTGCAGTGGGCTTGGGCAGGGGCGGGGGCGGGGTGGTGGTGGTGAGGGGATGATAAACCCTCCCCCTCCCCCATGTTCACAATCAATTTCACACCCCGTCCGTGATGCTGGGCAGAATGCGTGAGGAAGGCCCCACGCCAGGGTCATAGATCAGCTCACAAAAAATCCAGAACCAGCCGGGCGCCCGTGGCTCACGCCTGTCATCCTACCTACTCGGGAGGCTGAGATCTGAGGATCGTGGTTCAAAGCCAGCCCGGGCAGGAAAGTCTGTGAGAGTCTTATCTCTAATAAATCACTAGAAAACAGGGAATGGCGCTGTGGCTCAGTGGTAGAGCGCTCGCCAGGAGCTGAAGAGCTCAGGGACAGCGCCCGGGCCCAGAGTTCAAGCCCCGCAACAGAAAAAAACAAAAAAACCAAAACCCAGAACCACCCGGAGATCAGAACACGCCACAGTCTACCCTGCTTCTTTGTCAGCTCCCGGATATTGATGGATTTTGGGGGGTGGGAAGAGCCTGGAGTTTATGGGCAGCGTGGAAACGATTAAAAAAATCATTTCTCATTATGTGCAATCAGAAACTAAGACTCTGTGGAAAGAGGAAGGAAAATAAGGGCAGCCCTGGGGGTCAAACGCTAAGCAGAATTACTGCAAGGGCTACGCTGCTGAAGGCCCTATTGGTGTGTGTGTGTGTGTGTGTGTGTGTGTGTGTGTGTGTGAGTGTGTCATTCCCTGGGCAGTCTGTTTTCCTGGTGTATCTGGAAACAGCTTTCTTGCACTACTGGATTTGAACTCAGGGCCCTGAGCTTGCTAGGCTGGATCTTGAGCTACACCCCCAGCTCTTTTTGCTTTATTCATTTTTGAACAGATAAGGTGGCGTGATGCTCCCAGACTGTAATTGTTCTCTTTACACTGGCCACGGAGCTGGGGTTATAGGTATATCACTATACCTGCCTTGTTCTTGCATGTGTGCGCATGGGCATTAGCCAGTCTTGGGGCTTGAACTCAAAGCCTGGACATGTCCCCGAGGGTGAGTTTTTTTTCCCCTCAAGGCTAGCGCTCTAGCAGTTGAGCTACAGCTCCACTTCTGGCTTTTTGCTGGTTCATTCAAGAGTAAGAGTCTCATGGCCTTTTCTGCCCCAGCCGGCTTTGAACCTCCATCTTGAGATCTCAGCCGTGAGTCACGCCAGTGCCTCGTTCCCCGGGGTTTGGATGAAAGAAAGTTTAAATGTCTGGAAACTACCATCTCCCTTCACCCTGGCTTTGCAGAGGGGGTGAGTAGCAGCCCGCCATTCTTTCCCCCCCGGCTGCGTCTCCTTGCTGCTCAGCACTGGTGTTGGATGGCTCGTTCCTTTCAGCTTGGAAAGCAGAGACACTGCTGACCCCAGGTCTCTGGGGGGCCCCTTGGCCTTTGTTCCACAAATACGAATAAAGCTGCACCGTGCAATCCTCACGATCACCATCTCCAGGGCCGGATGCCAGGTGCAAGGGCCAAGGTGACTTGGTTCTGAATTGAATTGAGAACACAAAACCAAAAGGCTGCAAGGGCAGACGCATGCGTGGTGGGTGGCCATGCGGGTTGCATGTTAAGGACCAGGCCCTGTGGGCCCGTGCGGGGCCAGGCAAGCGGGGACAGGATGCTAGGGCGTGTGGAATCCCAGAGTGGGCCCAGGAGCCTGGGGGTGGCTTTCCACAGCCCCCCCACGCCCCCGGGGTACAGACAGCGCTCTGTGCTCTTCTCACTGGTGCTGTTGAGTTCTTCTTCATGTGGGTGACATCACCAGCTGTCTTCACTTCCGGGCAGGTTTTAATGAGTCGCTTGGGGGAAATCAGAAAGTCGCAGGGAGGCATGGTGGAGGGTTCCAGAAGGTCTGAGCCCCGCTAATTATGTCCCACGTTCCAGGAATAGAATGCTTGTGCCTCAACGTATCCAGAGCGCCCCTCCCCCCACGCTGGGCATGAGCAGCCCCCCCCGCCCAGGCTGTATGTTTTGGTGCCATGCCCAGGCCCAAGTTGAGCCATGTTTAACCGTGTTTCGTGTGCTAATTGTCCTGAAGTGCGCCCCCTGGCGGGCACCTCCGTGGCTGCCCGGGTTTTAAGGGGAGATTCTAATTCAAGAAGAGGAGGTCAGGTTGGGTGACTGAGGCCGGACCAGCCCCAGCTAGGGCGGAGATGAGTGAACTTGTTTGTCCTTTGCACTGTCTGCCGGAGCCCTCCCTCCACAGGGCCGGGCCCAGGTCCCTAGGTCTTCATGACACAGGAATATTCTGGAAACACAACCCTTCTGCTTCCCAAAGAGCTGCTGTCCTGGCTGCTGGTGGAGTGGGCTGGGGATTGGAATCGCACTCATTCTTGAAGCCTCCGTGAGCTTATCTGGGAGGTGGGGATACTACGAATGGATTTCTTTTTCTTTCCCCAGTGGGTATTTCGATGGGATGTGGGTGAGTCCCAAACCCAGGCTTTTTAAAAAATGTTTGTCAGTCATGGGTCTTGAACTCTGGGCTTGGGCACTGTCCCTCAGCTCTTCAGCTCAAGGCAAGCGCTCTCCTGCTTGAGCCACAGCGCCACTTCTGGTTTTCTGGTAGTTTATTGGAGATCAAGGTCTCTTGGACTTTCCTGCCCGGGCTGGCTTTGAACCGCGATCCTCAGATCTCAGCCTCCCGAGCGGCTAGGATGACAGGCGTGAGCCACTGGACATCTCTGCACCCCACATGGACACCCCGCTCCCGTCTGTGCCCCAGATGAGCACCACTGGGGATGGAAACCATCCATTATGGCAGAGCCGGGGGTCTGAAGGTAGATGAAGGAGCAAAGGAGAGACAGGCTCTCCAGCCTCTTAGGCCTCGCTGGGCAGGCTGAATGGTGGGGGGTGGGTGGAGGGAGGATAGGAAGCAGGGAGATGGGGGGCAGGAGGGAGAGGGAGGGGAAGGGGGAAGGAGGGAAGGGAGAGGAAAAGAGAAACGAGAGCCCAGAACAGGCCCAAGGGATGATGACTGCTTTTCGTGCCACTGACTCTGGGTGACCCTCTAGTCTTTGACTCCGGGGGGGAAGAGGAGAGGGGGCCGGACAGGGTCCCCTGGGCTGGGGAAGGGGGTGGAGGTCCCCCAGCCTCTGCCCCGTGGTGTCGGGATGGAGGCCATCGCCCTGAGCGAGCGGAAGGCCAAGGCTGTGGCGGCATCAGCCCCGACCTCCCAGCCGCAGAGCTTCAAAGCCAAGGCGCAGCAGCCGGGCTCTGCGGCGCCCAGTGATGCCCAGGAGCTCTGGGGGTTCAGCTCTGGGGTGGGGGAGCTTCCCGGGGTTGCTTGGAGCACAAGTGCAGGGGTGGTACAGTACTGGGTCCGGAATGGCTGGCCGGTGATCACGGGCTCTCGGCCTGGCAAGGTCAGCCAAGGTCAGCGAGGGAGATCCAGGCCCTGGGGACATAGATAGCGTCCGTGTCATTGTGGCAGCCGCTGCCCTTCACCAGCCTTCCAAAGAGCGGGGTGCGGCTCCCACAGGTGAGAGAAAGAGGGAAGGGGGGCAAGGAGGAAAGGAAGGGAGGAAGGAGGGAAGAAGGAAGGAAGGAAGGGGAGGAAGAAAAGAGGAAGGAAGGACAAAGCAGGAAGAGAGGGAGAGAAGGAAGGAAAGAAAAGGGAGGGAGGGAGGGAGGGAGTAGAGGGGAAGGGAGGGAGGGGAGGACGGATGGATGGATGGGTGCAGCGATGGCTGGGGTGGACACTGTCTCTGGATTCTTGCTGCCGCCGTGTTGATTCCCCGGCCCCTCCGCAAGCCTGGCATTTTCATGTTCCATCCTGCAGCCGCCGGGCATCTTGAGCTTTATGTGGACCCGCAGCCGTGTATCTGGCCGTGGGCTTTGGGAAAGGAGCCCAGCCTCAGTTTGCCCAGGATCACTTGATGGCGGTTTGCAGGGAGCGGGGCGGGAAGGCCGTCCTGCGTGTCTGGCTGGCGCGGGGCTGTCAGCCCCATGGGGATCTCCCTGCAGAGCCCCAGCTGGCCTGGAACTCTCCCTCCTCCTGCCTCAGCCTGCTGAGTGCTGGGATTACAGGCATGCACTACCATACCCGGCCTCTGGGGTCTTCTGGCTGGAGGTCTCCATCTCTTCTCTGTGGCCTATCACTTACTATGGAGAACTCCTAGTCATCTTCTTTCTTCTCCTTCCTCTTCCTCCCCCTCCCCCTCCTCTGCCTCCTCCTATTCCTCCATTTCCTCCCCCCCTATTCTTCCTCCTCCCCCCCTATTCTTCCTCCTCCCCCTCTTCCTCCTCCTTCTCTTCCTCCTCCTTCTCTTCCTCCTCCTGTTCCTCTGCCTCCTTCTCCCCCTATTCTTCCTCTTCCTCCTCCTCCTGCTCCTTTCTTTGGGATGAAGCATGTTACATCCATTTTGAAGCAGATGCGCTACCGTGCTGGGTTCCACTCCCCAGGATGTTCATGAAGACCACAGCCCGAGTGACGTCCTCCGCCTTGAGTCAGGCAGTGGCCGGTGGGCTGGGGGAGGGGGGAGGGGGCAGAGGGAGGGGGGAGGAGGGAGGGGGGCGGCTGTAAGCCAGCTCTGGGACAGGCTCTGTAATGGAAGGCCAGGGCTGCTCTGGGCAGGTCTCCGGAAGGAAGGAGGCCGAGGCCCGGCATCTGGGTACCGAGTTGCTGATGTTGCCAAAAAAAATAAAAAAAAATGAAAGCTCCTTCACGTTAGAAGAAGCTGCTTGGGAAAGCTGGGACGCGACATGCACGCTTGACAACGGAGCTCAGGGTGAAGATGCAGGCCGGGGGGTCTTGCTCACATTCCCCGCCGCACGCATGCGCCCCACGCCTCCTCCCGGGCTCATTCTCTCCCTCTTGCGGCTGGCCTGCTCGCTCTACCCCGCTCAGCCATGTCGGGCCTGCCTTCAGACAGCCGCGGGCATCTTTCATGACAGTGCTCACGCTTGCAGGGAATATTTGCAAACGGATTTCGCGCCCACGGAGTCTTGTC